GAGGTGAAGGAAGTAGTAAGGTGAGCAGTGTGGAGTGTGGGAACTGGAAACCGTTTGTAGCAGTTAGATTAATGTATCTGCAATGCTGAAATGCTATGAGAAGAGGATGGATGCATCCCTCCGACATATAAAATGGTGAAAGAAGTAGTAAAGGCTAGCAGTGTGGAGTGTGGGAACTGTCTTTGGCAATTACATTAATGTATCTGCAATCCTAAAATGCTATGGGAAGAGAGGGAAATAGGTCCACGACGTAGGGGGTGGTGATGGAAGTAGTAAAGGTGAGCGTGTTGAGTGTGAGAATGGATTGATGTATCTGCAATGCTAAAACGCTATGGGAAGAGACTGTAGACTGTAGGTTAAAATGATTACGAAGCACCAATCGATACATATTTCGATACATGCTGTCGTTTACAATAGTAATTTACAACTGAGTTGACAACAGCAGATTTTTACTCCATAGAGGATAAAAACTATTTTTACTTCCTAAAGAGTAAAAATGTTACTTTAGACCCGCAACGCATGCATTAAAAACGACTGGTATTACTGCAGTATGACCAAAACAATATAATATAAACCCTTGATGGCTCCGCTCAATTTTGTGGATGCCTCTGCGAACGCCACCTAGTTTATTAAGTGTCATTTTAACTGTGTTTCTTATACAAGTAAAAATAAAGCATAATTATTCTAACTAATTACGGATGAAGGTGATTTTTTCCTTCTCTGTGTAAAATCTATTTGGAAAACTTATAAAAATAAGGGTTTAGAATGTGTCTCAATATGTTTTTCGAATCTATACTCAATTAAGATTATTATTTAAACAGAGCTTTATTATTTTTGTTTTATATATCCTAACAAGAACGTACTATGACATTTCCCTATAGGTTATTAAAAAATAATGCAAAACAATGAAATGCTGAAAGATTTACTCTAAAAAAGTTGTAGTGATGATGATTAACACCATTTTAAAATTAGAGGTAAGGGCAACAACACTTCACACATATTTTTTACATTTTATGAACCCGTAAAAACTTTACGGAGCAAAAGTAGACTAATACAGTAATGATCAAACTGTGCCAACAACCAGACATGGTAAGCAAAAATATTAAGTAAAATATTCACACTAAATGATATTACACGTGACCACTAACATCTTAAACTATGTGTGAGAAAATAAACGTTTTCTAAAAAATAATTACTAAAACACAAATAATATGACATTTTTTGCAATCCGCTTAAACTGGGTTTTTTTTATAACATTCTTTTCTTGATCTTTATAAGAGAAATACATTTTGAGACACCATACATTTGCACAGTATGCGCAGTGTTTTGGTCTAGGTGCAAAAACATGTACTCATAATACACTTCTAAAATACTCTATCCCTAAACAGAGTTAAAATACATACTTTCAGACAAGAGAACCCTCTTTCAAGGTTCCATCCTTTCTTTATTCTTTTCTCGTCTCATAACCTCAATTTGAATACCAAACTCGCACTATGGAAAGGGGTGTCTAAAATATGTTAGTTAAATTTCTGATCGCAAGGAAAGAGCCAAAAGAAAGCCTACCTCTAAAAAGGTCAGTTTTTGTTTATGCTAGCTTAAAATGACCTCTAATAGATACTTTTTTTTTTACAGAAAACTCCTTTAAGAGTGATCAAGAAAATAAAAGCGGCGAGGAAAAAATAATTTGTTAGGTTTAGCGAAACATATAATAATATTAGTGGAATTTCAATTCTGTTTTTCGTTTACGAAACAAGCATAAATGTATTAAAAATATTTAACATTAGCTGATACTTGTTTCAAACAATATTTCTGTCTCATTATACACCTGTAAATATACATAATTCATATACAAAATCTTCGAAAATTTTTGTGTTGTGTTGTGAACCAATTATAACAAAACATACGGCGGTCTTAACCAGAATATATTTTATGTTAAGTTCAATAATTACAAGTGACTTTGTGGTTAGTATGTTTGGCTTTTTATATGATACATCATTATGATTGATACACTATTAGTACATTTGAGACTATTAAATATTAAAACTGCAAAATGAAAATATGGATTTTTCTTACCCAATCCAGTATTCTATTCTAGTTCGTAATGGACATTTTCACTCTGCTAAGCGTACCTGAAACATAATAAATTTTGTATGTATTATTAGTAGTTTCGTGTGGCATAAATCACGCCCATTGTGTTATAAACTGTGTTTGGAACACAAATAAATATTTCGTTTACAGCTTGGGGATTTCCTTTATAAGCAACACTTAAAAACACCAAAACCAGTTGGTTAAGTAGTTATATAAAATATAATTTTTTTATATAACTTACTGCTATCAAATTATTAATAAAATTAATGAAATCTATTTGAACAATACTAAAAAAATAACTACACAATTTTCATAATAAATTGGAATTTAATAATGTAAAAAAAACATGAAGCTAATATTTAAAATTGTTCAAAAACTATTGCTAAATGATTTTTACATTCTTAATTGATGATTTTGGTTATTGTTCGAGAACAAAAAAAAAAAAAAAATTCATTTGGTTAGAATCACAAACCTTTTGACAAAAATATATTTCATTATGATTGAACTTGAATTCTCTGTACGCATACAAATATGTCTTCTTTTATAAAACTTACCTTAATCTTAAAGGATGAATTATACCAATAGTAACATTTAACGGCAAGTCACGTAACCCCTAAAGCACAAGGTGAGAATAAAGTACACGAAACTCTGCCCCTAGCCTACATTAACATAAGGTATGTCTCATTGATCATATTTTATGGAACAAATATACTAAGGGAGGTTGCTAATCTATAAACGATTTCATAGCTATGATAAATTTATATTGAATAGTACATTTACATTCGGAAATAATTATAGCCATAACTACGAATAAATAACTCTATCTACAATAATAGAAATTGTAAAGCATACATTGAAATGTTTAACAATACAAAATCATAGAATTCATATTCTTTGAGTTGAGTATAGTCCAGTACAGTCCAGTGGTATTCTTATTCTTTAGTGTTGCGATCTAGATAAGATTTATACTGTTCACGAATGTGTTTTATTATGTTTAATTTAATTTTTGTATCAAAAACTGCATTTTGTGATGTTTAGATCATGAGCAAAAGAGGTTGCTAGGTCATATGTTATTCATTTTTAATTGACGCAGTTGTCCTTGATTAATTGACTTTCAATTTATCGTTCCAGTCAAACATCCAACTGATCTTAGTCAGTGACACGACTATTACGTCATCAGCTGGACAATTGACCAACTACACACCCTAAAATTTAATTGTAGTACAAAGAAAATATAAAAACCATTATTTAAATTAATTATTTAAAAGTTACAGCTAAGCATACGATTTACCTATAAATACATTGCACCAATTGCATACAAGTTATAATCGGATCTTTAGTTTCAGTTAAGTCACCGAAATAACGATTCACATTCCTGTTTAGTAGTATTGTCCTAGTTAATCATTGTACTGTGTGTGGTTTGCATTACCTCTGTAGGCGATGCAATATATCGCACCGCATTGTCCACCAATACCAATCTATATGCGTACAAATTATACTCACTCATGTTACTATAATGTTTATTCGGTTATGTAATGGTGGTTATGTGATGGCTAAACTAAACCAATCTATTAGAAATAGTAGAGGCAATTTTTATCAGCTGTTTCTTTGTAATCGTGTTTATAATGTAGTAGTGTATTTAGATATTTACAGTAGACATTTTACAATGAATAATAAGCAATAAATTATACAGCGATAACAATGAACTTGACATATTTCCTTAAGAATGAATTAATAGATCAATAATTTTAGTGTTATCTCATAACATAAGTGTTCCATGTGTCTAACAGATTTTACAAAGTCGCGATATCTGTTTATCACCAAATTAAATTTTTTTTAAACAATATTACTGACCAAAGATGTGTTTATAGGATGTGTCTAATGCAAAGAAAGTACTTCTCACTAAAATAAGATCTCTTTTGTTACTCAGATAGGAAGTAATACAACTTAAGGTGATTTCCAAACCTATAGGCGCAGCTATATTATATTCCCGAGTTCCATCCGTGATTAGATGGATCAAAATGACACCTCAATGGTCAAAATCGGTTAAATAGGACATTTGGAAAAATAGTTTTAAAGAGTATAATTACTCCCTTATTGTATTGAGTATATGGGTTTATTATGAAATCATGAAAACAGTTCTTGAATTTCTCTACAAAACAACTACAGAATAAATTAATGTTGATATGTATAACGTAGAGTAGAACTAAGATAACGTGAAATAACTTTTTTTAAACATTAATTTACTTCTGTGCCTAGAAACATTGAAATACACACTGTTAAAAAATATCTGTCTTGATTATAATACGTCTATAGATATAAAAATCTTAAAATACAATCAGTATAAAAAACGTTTCCTATAGAAGCGTTGTAATACTAACCGTACAAATATTTTGTCCTGTTCGACATAGTACGACTATGGATAAAAAAATACATTTAACCAACAATCAGTATATTAAAAGCACTTCACAAATCGTAACATGAAATGGATGACTAGAGTCACTTTAGGCAGGGTGCACACTGGAGAAACCCGTTTCAGGAAACTGATTTCATGAAATTGGTTTCAAAGAAACTGTTTCTTTACCAAATGCACACAGAAGAAACGCGTTTCCATCAGATTTGTCTTTGTGATGGATTCGGATGATGATGATGTGGTTATTTTGTGGTGGTGGCTAAAGAAAAAGAAAAGAAGGAAGTATTGGGTTCACCCGTTGATCAGGGATGGTCAACACAGTACTTACGTAGTAGCTCGTCTATTGTGCAGTGATCCTGTCAAATTTAAGGATTATTTTAGAATGTCGAAGCCTCTTTTTGAACGTTTGGTGGAATTAGTTAGCCCAGTAATAACGAAGAAGGACACCAACTGGAGGTTAGCTCTCAGTGCTGAGGAAAAAATAACAATAACACTGAGGTAAGTCAAAACCCTTTAATCATTGTCAAATTTATCGCATTAAACATAAAACAAAAACAGTTAGTTATTCTAAGGGTTTATTAAGAAAAGGTGCCAGTTCAGTATACAGTCGATCATTTCCTTCATCAATGTAGTTTTGACGAGGTAGAACCGGAAGCGGATTGGATAGTGATTGTCCAGACTCCACCGACCATGACTGTGGACTGACCGATGGTGGCTGATATGTCCATGCTGGTTCATCAATCTGATCAATCAAATTAAGAACATCCCTCCGAAATTTCTTGAATTGAGGTACAGTCATGTCTTCCACATCTGGGAGTATACTCAATAAAAACTGTTTTCTAGGATTCTCACTAACGACTTTTTTTTTTGAATTTATGTAATCCAATACTACTTCATCAGCATTTACTGGCTTGACTGTCTTTTTTGGGGGGTGGTGAGGCGTGGTTTTCTTTTTTCCAATTGTACAGGAACTTCCTGCCTCAATTCCTTTGTTGGTCTCTTCTATACCTTCCTCAGCTGGTTCCTCTAGTAAAGGTAGAACATCGTCAACACGTTCTTCCTCGGCTGCTGATGAGTCGGCCGCCGTGGGTGGTAGAGACGGTAGGTTACTAGGCTGATCGATTCCTTTTGCAGTCACGTACGGTTTGAGGAACATCATAGCTTGTAGAAGAGGCCATGGTTTCTTTTTGGCCTTGGCACCAGACGGGGGTAATTTAAGATTCCTCGTAAATACAATTCTCATGTTCCTCCAACTGTCTTTGCATTCCTTCACTGAAACAAAACATTAAATTAATTAAATGATTCCATTGACAAACTTAATTTTAACACAGAGGATACGCGTCCGGTAACCAGACGTGGATTAGGCGTCCGGTAGTGACGTCACCGGGTTGTGGGGTCCCGGAACCAACCGGAACGCCATTACCACAACGATACGCTATTCGGCCAGCGTTGTTCGTGGTGTAGTGGATAGAGTGCTCGGCTGATAACCATGAGGTCCTTGGATCGAAACCTACCGGTTTCTTTAACTTTTTGTCCCAGATTTTGCTTTGAATGTAATTCCTTCTTAACTGTACATCTTTTGTTAGAATTTTTGGTATTTGTAATTTTATGTTATCAAGAGAATTGAGCCTTCATTTGAATTTTTTCATTATCAGCAAGTTTGGTTGGTTAGGTTAGGTTATGACAGTAACTGCCGGACGCCTAATCCAGGTCCGGTTACCGGACGCGTATCCTCTGCGTAATTTTAATTACATTATTTAAATAATTTGTCAATCAACTGTAAATAACGAATTAAATATCATTAAATTTAATTAATAGGTATAATTAATTAATGTTATTTTAATTACATTAATTAAATCTATTAATTAAATTTAATGGCATTTAATTAGTTATTTACAGTTGATTGACAAATTATTTAATTAATGTAATTAAAATTACATGAATTAAATCTATTAATAAAATTAGTTATTTACAGTTCTAATTTGAACTTTTTTTTAGGTACCTTGCTACTGGTAACTCGTTCAAATGTTTGGCCCAATATTTCATGAGAGGAGAACGAACTATTGGTGTGGTTGTAGAGGAGACTACAAAGGCAATATGGAGTTGTTTACAACCACTGTACATGCCCGTTCCTGACGAAAATATGTGGAAGTGCATAGCAAATCGCTACCTAGAACTTTGGAGTTTGCCGAACTGCATCGGTTCAATAGATGGGAAACATGTCAGAGTCCAAAAGTTTAAACATGCAGGATCATCTTATTATAATTATAAGGGTTATCACTCAGTTCAAATTATGGCTTGTGCTGATGCAGATGGCTGTTTTACAACCATTGATGTGGGAGATCTAGGACGAAACAGTGATGGGGGTGTGTTCCGTACTTCACGTTTAGGTCGATGGTTGGATCGAGATGAGTTGAATGTACCACAACCACATCCTCTACCTTTTGACGCTAATGAGGCTCCCTTCCCATATTTCTTTGTTGCCGACGCAGCATTTCCTCTTAAAAAGTACCTTATGAAGCCGTACCCTAGAGCTGCTTTGACAGACGAACAACGAATTTGCAATTTTCGATTGACTTTAGGTCGCAAGACAGTAGAGTGCGCTTTTGGAATGCTCAGGTCAAAGTTCCGTATATTTGATGTCCCTATTGGTTGTTCTGAGAAAGTGGTAAAGCCTATAGTTGCAAGTGCCTGTGTTTTGCACAATTACATCCGGAAATCGGAAGGTGTTGCATATCAACGTTCCTTACCAGAATTTAAGGGAAGTGATGATCCAAATGTATGTCACCGTATCGTGGATAAAAACTTAAAAACAGCAAAGGCTATGAGGAATTATCTTAAGGCATATTTCTTGATTCCAGGCATAGCAATTCAACCACAATGGGAGTTAACTGATGAAAACAGTGATTAGGTACAGACCATAGTGTTGTTGGATATAAGTATGTACAAGGGCTAAACTGCTTTATCTAACAATGTATCTATCACTTAAAGTTAGCATATTGTCTATCGTTTTGTACTTATTGAAATATATAATAAATATAATAAATACCTGATGAGTTCAATTCTTGTGCCACTTTCTCCCAAGCTCTTTGTACTTTATCCCTGTTGCTGTACTCCTTTAGATGGAAATCATATAAGCAGGGATGGTTTTCTACAGCTTCTGCTAACTTCCCTTGAAAACAGATGTCTGCCATACTAAAAAACTTCACACGCGTATTGTGGTTAGCACCAAAACTTTATTTAATTTTACGTCGTAGTTAATAAAACCACTAGAAACGTGAAACTGAAGCCTATACGAAATCTGTTTTTTGGATTTCGTGTATACCAGTTGCAAGAAACCAATGAAATTACAGTTTCATGCAACGCAGTGTGCACTGTCCTGTGTTAAACTAATCCATCCGTTGCAAGCAACTAAAGTTTCTCGTTTCACGAAACCGGTTTCATGTAACGGGTTTCTCCAGTGTGCACCCTGCCTTACAGTACAGTTATCCCACCCCAGAATATGTGAGCTCACATTATCTCGCCCGATAATGCCGTTATACTTCGCTTTGCCTACCTAATACCAATTTATATGCGTATAACCACTATGTAACAATAATGCTCTGTACAGTTACATAAAAATATTTTTAGGTATGTTTACTTTGTCAGCTAATACAAAACTGTTTTCATATTTTGTATTTTCAATGATAATCTTCCTTGCACGTCATTGGTTTTAATTTTTGGTCTATTCTTAAATTAGATTTTAAGTAAACAAGTTTTCTTTTTGCTAAATTAAGTTATAATAAGTTTTACGTATTCCTAATACAATAATAGTGGGTTTTAATACATAAATTGTGGTGCTAAGAAATTGTAAAAATAAATTTAAATAGTTACTGATTTTAATATATAGTTTGTGACTCATTGTTGCTTTGGCATTTATTTGACATTTAGCTTAATGTTCCATTTAAGCATGAAACACAACAAATAATATGAAAGAAGAACGGCCGTTTGCAGGATTTCGATACCCTAAACTGTGTATAGTTTTTGGATCGTGATTTGTTTTAAGTTTATTTTCGATTTAATATAACAGTCAGTTGAGTGTGGTATTAAATCAGTAAGCTCTGCTAATTTACAAGCTATAATTATGGTTTTTGAGTAGTTTTGTGAGGTATATATTCTTAATAATACGTCGTCAATAAGGTTTTTTAACATATAATCATTGACTATAAATATTATAGCAATTTAACCATAAAAACTGGACAGTTTAGCATAGGTTAACTCTCTTATAATTCTTACTTTTAATTATAAAACACTTTTAGTAAGTGAAACATATCAACAAAGTTTTACTTTTGGTGCGAGAAAACTCCTGTGAAAGTTAGAGGAAAGTTGTAATTTACAAGTCAAACCATGAAATTGTAAACTCAGCTGAGGGTGTTAAAATAAATGTTGTTTTAGTCAAATCTCTGCCCCTCAGTTTATTTACACTAAGTCAGTTACAGTTAGTAACTTTAGACGTAATGAATCTTCCATTAGTTTTTTATTCGGATGAATATCCATGGGTTCGAACGAGTAGTAGAATTTAATGAAATTATTTATTACCTTTAAATATAAAAATTATATCAAGATAGTATTCACAATTAAGACATTCTATAACCGTAAGCTTAACAATAATTAATTTATAATACAACTACCTGTAGGAAGAAAGGTTGCAAATTTTAGTACATTTACAATCATAAAATCTTCTATAGACTATTTATATAATAATATATTGGGAGCTAAGAAGATAAAATTACTTACTAAAGAAAGAGTTGTTTGCTAAAAGTGTTATTGTTGTTTACCTGTATTATTTAACTGTATGTATAACTTGTTTTTAACCTGTAAGTACATTAACAACCGTTGAACATATGAATTGCAACGAATCAAAAAGAATTATAGACAAAAGATTTTATATAAAAAAAATAGCCCCAAAGCTTTGTTTCAAGGAAATTAATTCTACTTCCTGCAACTTACATTAAATTTACGTTGTACGTCTACATACATATAACATGAGTTTTTTTTTTCAAACCGTTCCAAGAAAAGAACTGTATGACAAAAATGTAATTTTAAACCTAATTGACTAAAACTGAACCATTTATACACATGTTATACCTAACATCTCCCTATCATATTTTTTAGAATATTTGCCACAATAGCGGTTGCAGAGAAGAAAGGCATCGGAAATTGAAAACACAACTCAGAGAACATGTTTTATGCATCAGTATTCGTATATCGTAAACACTCGTCAGTAAGTGATCATGTAAAGCTAGTTTTTTTTTCTTTTATTTTTTTAAATTAATTTCACTGTACTTAGAAAATCAATCCATGAGAATAAGAACTTTATGTTTTACGTTTAAAATGTTTTTACAAACAAATGTGCAACTATATAAGAGTCAAAATATATTCATATATATTTATTATATACAAGGAATTTATTTAGTTTCATTACTAAATATTAGGGTATAGGAAACTATTCGAATATAAGTACATCGCTTTTTACACCTTCTGGAAGAGATCAAAGAGGTAAGAACATTGTTCATTATTTAGAAAAGTAATGTGTGCATTATGTTTGTAAAATAATATTTGAATGATATTAATAAAATAATTTGTAAGAATCGTACAATAGTCTGTTTACGGTTAATAATAGAAAACTCCTACATCAAATAGTTTATGTAATATTTTAACATAATTTAGTAAATAAATGTATCTCGGATTCTACAGGACGGTTATTTTATGAGGTATTTCCTGAAAATATTAAAATTTATATACCTACAAGATATAGACTACACAAAACAGTTTCCTTAGGTTTTCCTCCTTTCTTTATTCTTTTCTCGTCTCATAACCTCAATTTGAATACCAAACTCGCACGATAGGTAGGGGTCGCTAAAATATGTAAATTTAATTTTTGATCAGAATGAAGGAACTTGAGGAACATCCACCTTCAAAAAAGCGTGTATGTTTTAAGCATAAAATACCAATTCGGTCATAAAATCTAATAAATAATTAAGTCATTACTAGGTAAGCAAAAAATAAATGGTCATAGGAATATCTCATATAAAAGGCAGTTACTCGAAATTTTTTTATATTTTTATACGTTTTATAAATTATTACGACATACTTATGATTTGTCATGTAAGATATTTTCTCTCAGAGCTTACATTGCATAGTTACTCATGGATTTGTTATTAAAATGAAAATGAAAAGTGAAAACTGTTATTGTTTATTTTGTTCATATAAGCTAAGCTAAAATAAACAAAACAGAATACAGTAATACAAACAAATAATCACACCTGATTTTAATAAGGCAATAAATTGAATGAAAAACATACAAATAAGTACCGCTGAGATATTTTTTACATTAGGTATATGGAAAGTTTCTTTTAGAAAGGAATTACGACCTTAAAGGGCAATTGATGAAATACTGGATAGTTTTGCGCAAGGTTTCTCGTCATACGAACATTTTAAGTATATGGTTTATGGGGGGGGGGGGGGTGGTGACTTGTATTTTTCTCAAAAGGTCATGGGTACTTTGGGATTTATATAAAGGGATAATATTTAATAGTAGAAAAATCCTACTCTACTAAATTAATGTGTATGTGTGTAACATTGTGTCTGTGTGCGTCGTATACATACAAAGTGTCCCATAAAACGTTGCCTTTTAATTCTTATACATATGACCGGACTACAGTCTATGAAACCCTACACCCGAGTCTTATTTTATTCTGAATAATCAGAAGAAAATGTTTATACTAATGTTTTTTGCAACAGTGGAGTTTCAAGTTTCTGGCGCCTTCGATGCTTCTGGTATAATAATGTGTATATTAATTCAAAAACAGCATCCACCCCTTTACATGTGTGCTGACACAGCTGGTTTTTATTTTTGGTTTCCATGGAAATAATTGATTGTAAATAAACTAATACTAAAGAAAGAAAGTTGATACAATTTTAACTCTTTATTTATTCTACATTTATTAACTTAAAACTTAATTCAAAGCAGGAAAACCAAACATAACTAAACTAATCCACGGATTCACTATATGGTAGCAGAGCGTGGTTTCCTGCTTTAACTTTTTACAACTTTCTAAACTTAACTTCTTTACTCAAACCTTTTACAACTTTAACTTACAACTTTGAACTTCACCTTCAAGAATAACCAAAAATGTCTTCAAGATGGGAACTTCGGTTGAAATCTGCCTTACTGCAACTGAAGACTTATATAAAGGATACAACTACTCTATTGGACACCACGGAATTCACGGAGCTACAACTTGAAACAAGATTACAAACTTTGACTAGCTTTGTGGAGAGCGTGGTGGACATTCAAGAACGACTGGACTCCGAACCTATAACTGATTATGGACCAACGGGTGAGATCTTCACAGAGGATGAACTTACTAATACCTTGATGGACTACGACGAGGTCGAAGCTCAAATCTCAATAATATTAGATAGGTCCCGAGCTGCTCATCAACAGACAACTGAACCTGGATCATCTTTACCGTCAACCATTCCAAATTACTGCGTTCAACTTCCAATATGGATTTTACCAATTCCCGATCACAGCCTCAATACTAGTGATGACAAAGATGTCGGATCTAAATCACTTGAAAATGACGTAGTTGAAGCCGAGTCGCTGACAATTGCTGAGGATAAATCATTACCTCATGAAAGCTCAAGTTCTATTCATCAGGAATTGATAGATGACAACGAGGAAACAACACAGATAAGTTCTATAAATTGTGTGACTTTCAATCTGATACCAGCAGGTGAAGAGGAAGTAGATGTGGTACCAGAAATCATCACTTCAAATGGTTCAAGCAACAACGTCTCACTGGAAGAACAAGCCATGACCTCAGTCAACTCTGTCTATGGTCAGCTGCTTGTGATAGGTTCCTCACAGAATCGAAGCAATACTGTACTTCTATATCCCCAAAATGAGAAAATCCCTATCGAATCTGTCAGAGCTACCTCCTCTTCTCACTGTCGGCCTTTCGATGACAGACGAATACGAGGCACTCACAAGAAGAAGGACAGCTTGAGAAGAGACAAGATCAACTTGTGGATCATGAAACTCAGAGAATTAATCCCAGCGTGTTACCAAGACTTGGGAAAATGCAGATATAAAGCCAATGAAGAGTTTCACTACATACTCTATCGTCCAGTAAAGAAAAAAGGGGCC